TCTCTTTCTTTCTCTCTCTCTCTCTCGTTCTATCTCTCTCTCTCTCTCTCTATATATATATATATCTGTCTATCTCTCTCACTCTCTCTCTCTCTCTTTCTCTCTCTCTCTCTCTCTCTCGCTCTCTCTCTCTCTCTCTCTCTCTCTCTCTCTTTCTTACTTTTTACACATTGTTAACGAGCCTATGTCCCTGCTATAACTGGTAGGGCTCGGCGAGGCCCTATTATTGCCGATAACTTTTAATAGAGACAAAGACTAGAGTCTAGAAATAACGTGGATTTTAAACATCCCTGTTTTTACCGGGCCTGTTATACATATTTGTATTTTGAGTTTCTCAAAATGTCAAACTTTTTCGAAAGCAATTCTTAGAATGAAATCTGGATACATAAACACCTCCGAAAAATCTTACGATTTTATTGATAGAGTAGATAAAACATAAATTATTAGTTTCTGACCTTATGGTCATAGTAACTAAAAAGGGACAAACATTTAAGATAGAACTTTGTTTTTTTCCCTAAGGTAGCGAGATCGCATACGTGGATAGGTAGGTAGGTAGGTAGGTAGGTATGTCGGCAGGTCGGTCGGTAGGTCTGTACCTAAGAAAGGTGGTAGGCAGAGAGGTAGCTATGAAGTAGTGTAACAAAATCAACTGGTCCACTGTGTGTGAAACAAAAACCTTTCCAAACCAATAAAATGAACACAACTAATCTTTCATTTTCTAGCAAATTTATTAAACATTCCTAAACACAAAATACCATGTATCACGAAACGACAGAAAGAAGAATATATATATATATATATGGCACATAGATCTAATACATTAATACATTGTCCCGTGGCCCCTTTCCGTTCTACACACAAAAGTCACACCTGGACTGAACACGTTTTGTCATTAAATTTTAATGTTCTCTGGGTGTGAGTAACTACTGCTCTACATGTATTATGTTCTTTATTAGCAGAAGTAACTTTTGCGCTATACATATAAAGGTGCAATTTAAAAATATGATGTTTCATGAATACCAACTTTGCAACAAAGATTGTACATAGGCATGCTACTTCCCGTCTGCAACAAGAGATGAAGCCAAAGCATTAATCTTCCATTTCATTTACTTTTTATTTACGGTACACCATAATATTGCAT